AGAAAAAGAACTTATCCATTTATGAGGCATACTGCGAGACACCCAATGTAGTAGCCTCAAATCCTAGATCTAAGGTGGGATTAGTATTATATCCAGCACTAGCACCCGTGTCATAGCTAGTGCATCTAGGCTTATATCATGCCTGAAAAAGGAAAGCTAGCTAACCACCTAAGCACGTAAAATCCATATTATCTAGTCTTTATAAAAGATGGGTGGGTAGGTAAGGTTTTGGAAGAAAGACTGATGTCTAGAGAGTTTCTTAATTGGAATTGGACTTATGTAGAGTAAATGCTCCTACAGCTAATAAAATTAATTTTTAATTAAATTAATTTCTAATACAATGCATTCTAGTTAAAAGGCTCCAAATCATGTATACATAAGACTTTAAAAATAGACTTATATAAAAATAATTTTTAGAAAAGACCGGGCCTCCCCAAGTCTGGCACTTCATCCTCATAGACCAGATTATCCGAACTCTATTCGCAGACGGGGAAATATCTTATTAGATAGAGGGAGAGAGATGCAATAATATGCATGCAACCCTGGATGGTTCTTGCTATTCCCTAGGACGTTAAGTTTTTAAGTTATTTAAAGCTTAAAATTTTAGAATTTAATTACGAGTAGAAAAGATTTTAGTCCTTAAAGAGCACATCGAGAATCAGACCATATACATGCAAAAAAAAAACTTAAGAAAAATAGACAAATTCTAATACACAATCAATATAAACACATCAATATAAGTCCACAAAATACAATAAAGTAAAGTCTACGATAAGTGCCATATAAATACAACCCATGGACTATAAAAAAGTAATGGTGGTTAGGCTCCACCGACAACATCCTTGATTATAATCCTAATGAACGATACAAGTCTTAAAAGCCAAGCATTTCATCTTCAAGTCTCCGTAAGTCGATTGTCCTTCTTCGGATCATCTACCTTTTGATTGTTTCCTTCGGGCTCCGTATGGTTGATCTTCCATAAGGATACCTAAATGACTAAAAATTCCCCAAGGGGGGGGGGGGGGTTCTTTCTTTTTCTCTTTAGGTACCGAGTGTTTGAAATACCTCACTTTTGAAAAATGTTCATAACTCGATACTTATTACAAATTAGATTACATTTGAAAAAAGAAAATCTAAACTCAGACTCCTGCATGGTTATCCTAATAAAAATCATCCCAATCAGTTTAATATATCACATCACAAGCAGTTATATATGTGTAGAAAAGTAAACATGCTTGGCCATGCTTTTTTAATTTTAAAGGGGGCTAAGCAATCTCTGGAGCATATGTAGAAAATAGGGTTAGTCTTTAAAGCTTAATTATAACTACCCCTTTATTTTAGCGCTACATGAGCATGACTACCTGCATAAGTCTATGGACAATCTAACATACAAATCACATAATAATCAAAGCACAAAAAGCATAATTATAAAATAAACATCATCACAACAAACCAGAGTAATCAAATTAGCACTCGTGCCGCGTGCCGCACACAAAGTATCACGACACAAAAACTAGGAAAAGTAAACACTGGCCTCAATCCTAGAGCTAAAAGTGGTGCCCTAGCACATCTATATATGTGTAATAGGCTTGTGTGGCTTTGGATAGGTCCTATGTAGGATAATTAGTTCAAGTTGCCTAAAGTTCAGATTTGTTGAAAGTCTGAAAAGGAAACTTTACTTAAAGTTTAAATATTAATAGGTTTGGGTCAATTTTAATTAATTTAGTTTTTTTATCCATTTTTAATGCTTATGATAGTGACCTTTGAAGATTAAGTTGTATTAGCCAATTTTGGAAAGTCCTGAGTCCTTATGTAAGCTCGACTAAGAGGGTCCAAAATGTCACTATTGGAAATAGGCTAGGCTTGGGGGTTCTAGCATTTTAATTAAATATTAGGATTTACAAAGAGTATTTAGGCTTTGAGTTTTATGGATTTGGAGTTTTCTAAGCAAAGTTATGGATTTTAGAAGATTCGAGATAATTAATAAATTATCTAAATTGCTTAATAAAGGATATTTTAGGGGTTTTGATCCAAATCAACTCCAAACTGATTGAAATCACCCCCAAAGGTCTGTAATGATCTAAAATAGTGTTCCCAAGTGTTTGGGAAAAATTTGGAATTTTTAATAAAGTTTAATTATCTAATTTAGGCAAAAAAGTGAATTTTAATTAAAATGAAATTAAAGTTTAAATTAAAGTCTAATAAAGGGGCCCTAGTTATATAAGGTTAAGGGTTAAATCCTGAAGAGTTCAAGGTATTATGGGTAATTTTCTAAATTGTAATAAATTTATTAGAATTTTTTGAAGTTATTGGGGCTTAATTAATGGGTTAAATTAGGGTTTGTTAATTAAGGGGTCTAAATGCTCTTAAAAAAATCTAAAAAACTCTAAGTGGTTTAGGATGTCAATAAGTTTAAATATTAAAATTTTCTCGTCAATCAGGGATCTATTCTAGCTCCTATAATTTTTATAAATTCGTTAGACGTGTCTTTAATTATTATCCTTAAGGTGTCACTACGTTAAATAGGTTTAAAGCAAGTTTTGGACTAACTCTTGGGTAACATGAGTGGAATGCATAAATAAAATAAGCACACTAATTCTTAGGATTTATGAGGGTCTAAGCTAAGTGCTCATGCGTCCTATACATAGAAAAGACGGTAAAAAAAAAGGTGATCAGTGCGCTTAACAAAGCGATTAGTAAATTGTTGAAACTCAATCATCCACTAATATTCCCCCCTATGAGTGCTATCCATATGCACAATCAATATTTAAAATTTCACAAGTGGATCTCTCAAAAATTAGGAATTTAATAATATATATAATTTTAAAAAAATTTAAAATATATGTATTATTAATGAACACACACACACACACATATATATATATATATATATATAAATATATATATATACACACTATTTACATGAATATGATGAGCTAATTAATACATTTCTATTTATGAATATCGTATATGTAAATTTTCTGTATGCTTATTAAATGTGTATTTTTTGAGTGCTTTACAGGCTTGATGGATAAGAGTTGGATGTCAAAAGCAAAATGGAGTAGTGATTATATTGAAGGTGTAGATAATTTTTTAGAATTTGCAACACAAAGTCAAAGTTCAACACAAAAAATTTTATGTCCATGCAAAGTATGCATTAACAGATATTTTCATTATGTAAAAGAAGTCAAGTTGCATTTACTCTCCAAAGGAATTTTCCCTGGATATGTTGTTTGGAATCGACATGGAGAGGAACATGCTTTTTTAGCTGAAGTTACAAGATCAGATACATGTACTGATACTAGTAATGTTGTTGAAGTACAAAGTCAAGGCGAGCT